CCCCCAAAACCCCTTGTTTTCGACCCCCCCCCCCCCTCCAGCTACTTTGTGGCGGCCATCAACCGCGTCGGCACGGAGACGTTCCCCCGCGAGTTCACCAGCGGCGACGGCAAGCCCGCGCACAAGGCAAGAGCGCGCATCAACACGCACGCTCGCGCGGCCGAGGACCGCTGCGGCCAACGACGGCCGGGGCGCGGGGCGACGCCCGCCTTGGAGCGGCCGACTGGCCGTCGCAGCGCGCGGTTCGGGGCCCCTGCACTCGCGCTCTGACCCTGAGGGGTTGTTGGCTCTCGTTTCTGGGTCGGCATAGTGCGTTGTCATCTTGCCTTGACTCTTCCGTGCGCACACGACCGCCCCTGATCCCCCGCCCTGCGCAGGACTTCGGCCACTTTTACGGCTCCAGCTACGTCGCCGCCCCCGACGCCAGCCGCACGCCCTCCCTTGCGCGCGACATGGACGGCCTCATGGTGGCTGATCTTGATCTCAACCTCTGCAGGTGGGTTACTGATCACTTGTTGGGAAGGGGGGGAGGGCAGAAATGGGAGGCGGCCAGAGCTGGTGCTGCTGCCTACCGCCGCTGCTGCGGCTGTGAGCTGCGGCTGCCACGACTGACTGCGCCTTGAAACAGCAGCCCCAAACAATATGCAGAGCCGGGCTGATCGCTCGGCTGGCGCCTGCAACACGCGCGGTCGCCACCCGCACCCCCTCCCCCTCCAGGCAGTACAAGGATAAGTGGGGGTTCCGCATGACTGCGCGGTACGACATGTACGCGAAGCTGCTGGGCAGCTACGTGCGGCACGACTTCCAGCCGCAGGTCATCAAGGACCCCTCCCTCTGATGCTGTGGCGCCGCGCTGATGTGGCGCATCACTCAGCAGTCGCAGCGCTCCAGACAAATTTGGGCGACGCGCTTTGCCGTCGAGGCCGCAGCATGGGGGCGGCAGCGGGAGCATAGGCATGGGCGGTGCAGGCTTGGGCCGGGGCGCCACGCTCATAACTGGGTGGCAGCCCTGCGCCAGGAGCGCAGAGCAGCAGTCTGCCGGTTTCACGGCTGGTGTGTGGCGGTGTACGATATTGCATGTGTGCGCTTTGGGCTGTATTACTCCTGCTCACGCCTGTTGCTTTGACGCTTGAGCCTGTCATGTGCATGCAGGCCATTCTGCAAGCGCCAGCGGCGAGGGAACCTCAAGCAGGCGCTCTGCAGAACTTGAGCTGAATGGGCCGCCTCACAACTGCCAGTCAACTTAATATGAAAGCATTTGATATTACAGTGTACAACAGACAAACCTGGGGACCTGTCCATGTAAAAACAAGGCAACCAATTTACACTGTGGGGGGACAACTCATTGGAAGCGCAGCAGGCCAGGACCGTCGCAGCAGCTGGTGTGTTGCATAACAAAGGAAAGGCGCTCGACCGCAAAAGCAACTGAAAATCGCCCACTGGGCCACTGAGACTGCGTAGTGAGCGGCCCCGACAAGAGGCGTGTGGGAACTGCCTGGTGAGGCGCCTGCCTACCTTCCAAGCCGAGTGCAATGTCTCGTCGCGCACATGGGGCGCGGGCGAAACGAATATTCGTCTTGAGCGGGGCCAGAGGGCCACGGCCAGCCCGCACGATGGCGGGGCGGTCGCAGAGAGAATAGGTTTCGTGGGCCGCAGTGGCGTTGCAGAGGGCGTTGGCGCGTAGGCAGGCATCCGGCTTATGGAAAGAGGGCAGGCCTGGTGAGCCCGCGTCCTTGGCGATGTGCAGGGCCGCTGAGAGGGCGGCTCGCCATTGTGCGTCCTCGTAAGCAAGATTTAGCGACGACCCCACTGTGTGTGCGTGGGAAGCGAGGGTGGCAGGGGGGCTTCAGCCGGGCGGACGCCGTGCATGACGCACGAGGTTGCAGATGCATCTGCCAGGGCACCGCTGCATCCGTGCAAGCGCGTCCCAGCCGCCACTAGACGCCCCGGCACCCACCCCGCCGGCGTTGGCGCTGGCGAAGGCGTTGGCGCTAGAGAAGCCGCCGCCGAAGCCGAAGCTGCCGGCCTGGGCGGAGGCGGAGGCCTGGGACCAGCCACCGCCGTAGACGGGGTAATAGCTGCCACCCCAGCTGGGGTAGAAGCCGCCGTTCCACCCGCGGTTCCAGGGTCCGCGGTTCCAGTTGCGGCCGCGGCCGCCGCAGTACCAGCCGTAGCAGTCCGCCGCCTTCTCCCCGAGGAGCTTGCGGTTGGGCTTCGCGTCCGCCGCGCTGGCGACCGCAAAGGCTGCGTGGGAGCAACATGAGTGGGGCATGACATCAGCATCTTGGCCAGGGGTGACCCTGGGGTGAGGGCCAGGCTCGCTGCAGGTCTGACCTGGGCTGGGATGGCTGCACTGTGCAACTACAGCGTGTGCTGCATCCTTAGGGCGATCCGTGCCCATATTGCGCGCGACAGCGTGCCACCTATCGGTCACCAGCTACGGCGCTGCAAGGCTGACTCGGGCGCGACGAAAGGGAAACCAACCCTGCGTGCGCCTCCAACGGCGGCCTTGCAGTCGCAGCAGTGCATGCAGATACACGTCCAACGTGGCGTCACTGGCTGGTCGTAACAATCCGGGCCAAGACTCGAAGACTGCAATCCCAATCCAGCCCGCTCGTGAGCTGCGCGCGCATCTCACCCGCGATCAGGCAGACGGCGACCAGGAGCGCCCCCCGAGAAAACCTCATGGTGTTCGATATCTGACTTGAGAGGGGTCGCAGGGCTGGAGAACGCGACGCGTCCTGCCTGGTGTGGTGACCGTACGTACGTCAAGATGCGGGTGAACTGGGATCACGAATCTGGAGCTTTAGCAATGACGGTACCGTACAGGAAGGGAGGGAACCGTTTCCAACCGTAAATGAACGGCGGCACCGGGATAACCAGATCACGCACTCGGTCATCACCTTCTCCGACCTCAGCCTCTGTGGGGCAGCTGTGCGGAAACCAGCCTGAGCGGATGCACATCCCTTTGAAACCGGGCTAAATGGGCAGTCAATGCATTATCCTGCCTCAAAACGGGCGTCAGGCGAGCATGGTCAATGGTACCACGCACATGCCTCCGACGGCATCACCACCTCAGAGGTGGCGTTGTACTTGGCCGGTCGAGCCGCCCTGCACCAGATGCACAGGTGCTGACGCCAGCCTTAGGCGGACGCCCCTCGTAGGCTGCCGCCAACCATACCCTTTCTAAGACTCAGTGTATCTCCCAGAGTGGTGGCTGCGCCCCAGCCCCTGCACGCTATCACGTGGCTCCCGTGCGATTGTTTACTCAAAGTCGTCGCGGTGCCAGTCTGAACTGGGCGTGTCCGCCCAGTCCACCGCTATCAGCAGGAACCCGCCGTCGTAGTCATCCCGCAGTATGCCGCCGTCGCAGTCCTCCGGCCGCGGCCACACGCGCGCCGATCGGTGCCGCAGGCCGCGGCCTGCGCAAGCCGCCCGGAAGGCCTCAAACACGTCTTTGAAGCGCACGGCCGAGCAGAGCAGCGCGCGGCCGCCGGGCGCCAGGCGTTGCGCAATCACAGCCGCCACGAGGGTGGCATGCTCCGGCTCGTACATCGTCTCGTTGCCCAGAATGAGGGCAAAGTTCTCCGCCTCGGGCACACTAGGGGCGCCCTCACCGCCGGCCGCGGCCGCAGGGGCTGCGCCGGCATCGAGCGCGTCGGCGCGAGCGCCGCCGCCGTCCAGGACGTCGAGGCTGTCCCGCCAATCCAGCAAGCGCACCTCCATGTTAGCCGCCTCCCACTCCCCGCGCGCCGCCGCGGCCTGCGCCGCCCCAGCCGCGCCGCGCCCGCCGCCCCCCGGCCCCGGCCCGTGGCCATTTCCCTCTTCGTAGGCGCCGCTGCCGCCTGCACACGCCAGCTCAGAGAAATCCAGGTCGTCCACCGACTCTGCGTCATCAAACAACTCTGCATCCGTTATGCCGTGGAAGTGCCCGCCGCCGCCCTCCTCGCCGCCGCGGTCGCCGGCCGCCGCACCCGTCCCGCAGCCGTCGGCAGCCGCAGCCTCGCTCGGCCCCTCACCCGACAGGCCGTCGCTCGGGCCGCCGCCGCCGCTCGGGCCTGCGTGGTCGGCGGTGCTGGTGCCTGGGCAGCTGCGGCCGTCAGCACCCGCATTCAGGTGCATGCACGTGCGCAGGTTCTCAAGGACGGGCGGCTCGTTGTCTGTCAGGACCTGATCAGGGTGATTGATCACAGGTGGGCGCACAGAGTGCGATTCAGCAGGGGCGGCCAGAGGCTCGCCGCGCTGCCGCGTTAGGCCTGCAAGCTCTCGTCTCAGCACCCTTCGAGGCCGCCGCCGTGCCTGCAGAGCACAGACCTTTCGTGGCTGGACCGACGAACAAGCGGTACGAGCGGCGCGCGGCTCCCGGGATGCGTGACGCGGCCCGCTCCCACCGCCCGCCCGTGCGCACCACGCGCCGCGCCCCGAGCTTCGCGGCCACGATGCCGCACAGCCCCGTGCCCGCGCCGATCTCCAGCACGTCCAGCCCCGCCACGGCCGCGGGCGCGCCCGCCAGCTCGCGGCAGAGCGCGTGCGCGATGGCCCACACGCGCGCGCCCAGGCCGTCGCCCAAGGGGCCCTCCCTGATGCGGACCGAGGCGCCGTTCCCGTAGTCAAACGCAAGCACCTGGCGGGGACCAGGGGGTGGGGTGGGGCAGGGTGAGGCAGGGCAGGGTGAGACAGGGCAGGGTGCGCCATTCAGTGAGCCCGATGATGCAGTCCACGTGTCGATGTCAGCGCCATGGGGTCTGCTGTGAGCGGCGAGACACTTGCCCTGCCCCGTCGCTGGGTGGCAGCTGGAGCCCCAAAAAGCAGGGCGCGCATGCAGCGCGCCCAGGCAACACCAGTGGAGTGGCCGTGGTCATCGGCCTGGACGCACCCGGCCCGCGCAGGCCATGGTCCCTGAGCACAGCGCGATG